TTTCTTATATACATCAAACAAATAACCTTTAAAAGAATGACAGACATATAAGAACTAAAGGCCAGTTTCAAGAACCAAAATGAAATAAAGATTCTAACCCCTTGCATGCAAATCACCAAGAACTTCTGCAGCCCAGCCATATGCAGATTGAGATTTTTCCTTTACTCTTCGAGTGATCTTTTTACAGTTTTAAAGACTTCTTGAATAAACACCTGATGCCTGATCTTCACTAACTTCATTTGTTTTGGTTTCATCACTTGTTAAGCATTTCATAGTTTCACAGACTGTTTTATCTATCTCCTTTTCTTTTGATATGACACTCACTTGCCTATGCTGTGAAGTTGCATCTTCTCAGCCATATGTTGTGGAGATGGAACTTCAGTATAAAAATCATTATCAGCAATTGCAAAGTCTTTCAATAAAAGTTTAACCATTTTTTCATTTCCATTTATCACTGCCAGAGTCATAGGTGTAGCCCTGCATCTTTCCTTTACATTTAGGTTGACACCAGCTTTTATGAGAGTTTCTCCCAATGGGGTATTTCCATTTTCACGGCATGATTCAAAATTGTACAGCCAKWGTGGTCTTTAACATTTTCCCACTGTCCACGATTTGTTTTTAGATATTGTATCAGTTGGAGTGATGTACCAGAGTCTATTGACTGGCTTGTGGACCACATTTTTGCAACRATTTTATCAAATACTTTCTTGAATTTTCCATCAATCTTTTGGAAGGTTGTTGAACCTCTTTTCTTAGATTTTGTCTCATCCTCACAATTATATTCACTTTCACTGTTATCCCTTTCATCTGAATTTTCTGATAACTGTTTCTCAATATTTGTCAACTGCTTCTCCAGCTCACACATTTCCACATTTCCTTTTTATGTTCTTGAAGACTGTGGAGGAATTGATATCATACTTTCTCAAATTTTCATCATATGTCATACACATCTTTGAATGATTGCATGGAATTTGGAATTCATYCCCAAAATGTTCTAGTACCGATGCAGTTCAAGTAATCGTAGCATAATTTTCAAGAGAAATTGGCAAAACTATGGTCTTGGTTGCCCCTGTGTTTTCTTGTCTTTGTCAATGGGACTTTCATGACACAATCTATAGAAATTATTATTGTTAACATTGAGACCATTTACATGCATTTTTAGCAAGATATTGAATTCTTGTTCACTGATACTACTGAAGTCTTTTTTTTTTGTTGGAGGAACTTTATTAAGGCCAGCATCCAAGAGTCTTAAAAAGTAGTAGTCTTTAGATTCTTCAAACACTCTGAGATGGCATTTAATTTAAGTGTTGTAAAATTCATTAATAATTCATGACTTTAAGAACCAATGAAAACTCGGCATTTAGATCACATGTGACCGCCTGTAATCAACAATAAAGGTCGACTACCTGAAAGCCCGGGGAGGGTTTGAAAATGTAGCAGGGAAAGGCTGGGGTTGA